CATCATCAGAGGAATGAGGATATTTAGATTGAGGCAGCATCTTCCCACCTCTTATACTAAATTTAGCCTGTCATTTCACTGCCAGGTGCTGAAAGCTTCAAATTTTGTCGCATTAAGCGGATGAGCTTCAAACCAAACCAGTGTGTGACTTTCAGCAAACAAAAAACTCGTGAACTAATTTTTCGCCCACAGACCATCACAAACGTAAATTACCAGTGCGACCTCAATTTGCTTTGTTAATTGAAAACAGCGAGCCATAAATCAAGCGGCAAATGGGCCATTCAATGGGGATGCCTTTAGATTAACTCACATCATATTGTAATAAACTGAGGTATGAAACAGAACTACAAGGTGTGAACAAGGCAATAGACAAGGTGAAGCAATCCCTCATTTTCGTTACCGATAAAAGTTCTCCACGAAGGATTTCTAGAAGAAACCGTGGTATTAAAACGAAGCCATGCCCACCGAAAACACTAGTGAGAGAGTGAGACATCAGGTTAATCTCCTTCGAGAGTTGGGTTCTGACCATGACGCTGCAGTATAGTTGGAGGGCTAGCTCACACTGGACACCAAAGATGAGGTGAAGCAGGCCACTTCTCATATCACCGAGGCTGTTCTTAAGTATTAAAATAAACAGAAAAAGCACTAATTAATAAGTGTAAGAGATGGCTTTATTAAAGACTAAATGAGATATCCGGTCGATGACAAATTGCACTAAAATAGTACAGCATTTTTCCAACTCGGGGTTCAGCGCTAATTTTACCCCTACGATGTCCTTCCCTTGACTGATCAGCACTTTGTAACATTGGGATGTCTCGTCTCGGTGCTAAAGTTTGTGAACAGGGGAACACTACTAGAGAGCTGCTAATACTACTCTATTCACATTCTGGCTGCTCGTGGTACAGTTATGTGAAGGTCTTCAACTAAATAGGGTATTTCGGCAAAAACCGTCCTTTTGTCATTCAGTGCTCTGTCCATCCACCTCTCTTCGATTGTAGTTGCGTTATTATTGACATGCCATTTCTATCACCAGTGACTAACTAAATGCGGTACTAAGTACTAGACACTAAAATTAGTCTAAATTCCCTCAAAAAGCGTCCCAGAATTGTAATTTGCCATTGGAAACGAAACTTTCACAGTGACATTTACTGGAAAAGTATTCAGATATCTGATGAACTTTCAAATCAGAGAAAAAAATTAGGCGACAGCTGATCTCTACAGCGTATTATGGAACAGTTCCATTGGAATAAAAGACATCAGCAGCGGGTAGAAAAGAAGTGGCGCAGGTATCCCCTCAGTCAAGTGGACCAGTAGAATGGCAAAAGAGAGTGGTGGAAGAAGATAAATTGAACTCACAAAAGTGGGAAGAGTGTTTAAAAAGTGATTTTGGTGGAGAGGGGAAGGGAGGAAATATTACAAAATTACTGAAAGACTTCAGAGAGTGGACGGCAGTAGGTTGATGGCCAAGAGGGGAAACATACAGTAAACTATGGACTAAAGATTTAAGTAAAGGACTAAATTAGCGTTTCCCTATCATCCATCTGTCTACCTTACCAAATCTCTAGGCCTCCATCTATGCGCATACATCCATTTGTACCCTTATTTTTTGAGCAACGAATAGCTGTATTTTACTATATTTTCAAATAGTTGATCATTCCCTTGCATTTATTTTTATTATTACTTTATCCCTCCCCTATATTTAGATTACCAGCCAACCGACCAGCATATTAAGAACGCTAGAGCCTCGAACTAGAAGACCACCCCAGCTGTGGCTGCATTCTAATGATTGCTCGAAATGAGTCACTAACCAGGGCATTTTTACAGGTAGAATATTTGGCACTATTCATTCGGCTCTGCCTCCGCTTCCATATCCACATTCGACTTCCTCATCCCGCTCGACCTCCTCATCCACCTACACTCAATCTATTGCCGATCGGGTAGCTAATAGTTTCAATGGCAACAGTGGAGGCATAGGGATTAGGTTTGTCAATGTGACAGGTGTGTACTCCATCTGAAATAATGACAAATGTAACCGATTTGTCCGCTTATCAATATTTGGTCACCGGCTCACGTCCATTGGGAGGAATCGGTGTTTGAGGTGCCACCTTTAAAAGCACAAAGAGAAGTTTCGAAGGAGGTATCTGGATGGACTTAGAAAATGAGGACAGTTCGACCTAAAGCGAAAGCCTTCAGAACAACTCGGCCAATATGTCAAAATAAAAGCAAATTTTTTATTACCCTTTAAAGATATTATAAATTTACCGAGGTGTTCTAAGTATCGATTATTTGAGTACATCTCCTGCACAAATTTTGTGGTAAGTTGTCCTTAAACGATGCTTAAACCCATTCAAATTTAAGGCAAGTTATTCAAAACAGATAAACTATTGAATGAAGCAAATAGAATATGTTCGCAAGCATATCAAAGTTTCGAAATTAGGCATATTTATACAAATTATTAACAAAGGTTCAAAATAAGCGTCTAACATCTAAGTTAAGAAGTTATACTTTTATTTTTACTTACGCAATACAAAATTCCAAGTTCTGCAATAGTTACAATCACAGTTTTTTATATTTATGAAAGTTCATATATTAATTTTGAATTTGTTCAAGTGTTTTTGTGTGATACTACTGTAATGAGTATTTGTGCTGCTGATTTGAGTTTGTACATTTTCGGCTACATCACGAGTTCGACCCTATTACTCTTCTCAGCTGCACCTTCCAATGCTGTATTCAGAGTCAATTGCCTCCCGTTTTAGTAAATCTTGCACAATTCGTTTTCCATTTCAAAGTTGCGATAATGTTCTTGTGTCTCCAAGCGTTTTCCATGATCCCGTTTTTTTTGATATTATTTCCTTGTTCTACGGTTGCACTTGTCGCATCATGTCTCGTAACTCTCTCCTCTCAGTTGACTCAGTACCAGCAAGGGACTTTCCTACTATAGCTTACCGTGCCCATTTTTCCAAGTATTGCATAGCATACTTGGAAGCATACGGTGAATCTTTATACTTTTTGAGGCTTAGACCTAAAACTGATTGTTAAAATTTGTTAAATAAAACGCATATTCATTAATGATTGATCTCACTGTTATCCGACTTGGGCTATATGTCTGTATTTTTTGTACTTTATATACCTAGCTATGTTGGGCATCTAGGAGATGATCAACGCCTTTGTGATGCTGATCATATATCTTTTGCTTGGGTAGAGTGTGCAACGGCTTATGCATTTCCACACGTTTAGGTTTTCAATTTATTAAGCCTACATCAGTGCACCTAGGGACAGAAAAAGTTTTGCTAAGAGGGCCTGATTCCCCGTTAGGTTCCAAAAGATGACCAGTAAATTCTCTTTTACAGCACTTACATTTAACAAGCCGTCAGTGGGGTGTCTTTCTTGAGCTAACCATGGCAGGTAGATGCACAAAGTCCCATTCTTGTAGGAGAAGACGTTAAGGAGTGACAATTTTGCACTTATGAATCTTGTCTTACCGTGGTTAATCAAAAACTTGTAGTAAGTCATGGCTAATGAATAACCAAATTTATTCGATCAACAACTGCACCGCACAGAGCAGCATCATTTGTAAATCACCCTTTTAGAAGATCGACTGCTTGCATGCGGTCTCAGAGACCTAAATGAAGTCGTGGGAGAGCACTACGTTGGATAGAGTGAGATGTGCAGTATTGCCAGCCATATAGCGCTGTTGGGTGACCTCTACCTCCTCTCCGATGGTTCTGCACGAATTCACATGAATAAATATTGAAGGGTAACTTCATTTGGCGATGTCAATGTCACCGACGAAACAGCCGTTTTGAAAATCGCTCCATCCTTCTTCGATGATGACGACTCAACTGAAATTCTGTCTCCTCCTCCTTTTCCTTATCTTTTTCGCTCACATTCCTTCATGTCTACCATTACCATGAATGCATCGACGTCTATTATCACCTCGGAAGTGACTGAGAAACAGGCAAAAGATTTTAATAGCATAGTCAAGTTGTGAAGTCGACAAATATTGAAACAGTAGCGGCAACTTGTATGTAGGAGATGGCTCAATATATTTAAGTCAATAGAAGTTGAGGTACAGAGGGACCAATA